AATAAATAAATAAATAAATAAATAAATGATTTTTTCCTCTAGTCTTGTTTCCCAAACCTGATTGGTGAACCTGTTATAATAGGCAGTAAGAAAATCATTCCATTCCTATACCACTCAGAGTACTGGATGGGTAAAAACAATGTTAGCCAAATGCAACTGTGTGGAAAGGATGTCGTGGTACAAGTTTTTGCTCTGGCCCTACACCAACTAGCTCAGTTTTCACGTCTGGAAAACAAGCCAGGTGGATTCACTGTTCTCTGAAGACTCCTAAGTTGATTAAAGAAGAGTTTGATTAAACTCACTTTATTGTTCTAAAACAGGGTTTCCCAACCCCAGCGCAAATAACACTTTGGGCCAGATAATTATTTGTTGTGGGGGTTGTCCTGTCCACAGTAGGATGTTGAGAAACATCCATGGTTTCTACCTGTGATATGCCAGTAACACACACCCCCCACAGTTAACAACAACAACAGAACTATTTTCAGACACTGCCAAATGACTCTAGGGGCAAAAATTTTCCCTAGGTGAGAACCACTTTCAATAGCTCTCCATTGCCTACAGAAAATACACTCATTTATTGAATATTTAACATTATTTATTGAGTATTTACTAAGACCAAAGATCATTGAGAATCAGCCCCTGTCTAAAAGGAACTCATAGTCTAGTTAGAAGAACAAACAGAAAATTATAATCTAGCCCAATCCTATATAATAAAAGGCTAAAACACAAATTGACCAAACAGCGGAACAAACGGTCGCTATGACGTGCACTGACCACTAGGGGGCAGACACTCAATGCAGGAGCTGCCCCCTGGTGGTCAGTGCGCTACCATGGGGATAGCACCACTCATCCAGAAGCTGGGCTCACGGCTGGCGAGTGCAGCAGCGGTGGCGGGAGCCTCTCCCGCCTCCGTGGCAGCACTAAGGGTGTCCGGCTGCTAGCTTAGGCCCACTTCCTGTAGGGAGTGGGCCTAAGCCATCAGTCAGACATCCCCCAAGGGCTCCCAGACTGCAAGAGGGCACAGGCTGGGCTAAAGGACACCACCCCACCCCACCCCCCCCGCCCAGTGCATGAATTTCATGTACTGGACCTCTAGTGTATATATAAAGACTAAAAGAGATGCAAAAGGAAAGGGGAAAGCTTTTGAGGTGATAGGTAAAGGGAGCTCAGAGCGTTTTCTTGGAGAAATTATTGATTAAATGGAACATTAAAGGATGAATAGAAATTAGCCAGGCATTTTCAGCAATGAGAAAAGGCATATTGGTGAGAACAATGACCCACTCCCACAAAACTCTCTGATCTGGGGAGTGGTGAGGATGAATCCCTCAAGGACAAAGAGACCTCCAATCCTAGCTGTGTGTTGTCTCTTATAACAGTCCATTCTAGGGAAGCAGTTCAGAACCCTTAAGAACTCTCCGTCATGGTTGGGCCTAGTCCCCACTAGAGGTGTGGGCTCTTTGGAGCTCTCCAAGGTACTGAATCACATCCATCTAAACTGCCTTTTTAATCAGGAGTTCTCTGCCAAGGAACTTGCCTAGAACCCTGCTCCTTCCTGACCTTGACTCCTGGCCATTCTTGCTGCCCTTGGCTGGTGCCATGCAGTAGAAAAAGAATAAATTTACCAACCTAAATGATTCAAATTAGGAGACAGTCAAATAAATTATTATTATAAATTATGATGTGTCCCTATGAAAATTGTAGAGTGTTTGGGTGGCCTTATATGTTTTAAAATATGGATTTGGAATTTTATATATTTTCTAATATATCTATAATAGCCTATACTTCTTTACTCAGAAAAATATCTTTTAAATAAAAATAATAATAATGCCCTGACCGGTTTGGCTCAGTGGATAGAGCATCAGCCTGTGGACTCAAGGGTCCCGGGTTCGATTCCAGTCAAGGACATGTACCTTGGTTGTGGGCACATCCCCAGTGGAGAGTGTGCAGGAGGCAGCTGATCGATGTTTCTCTCTCATCGATGTTTCTAACTCTCTATCCCTCTCTCTTCCTCTGTAAAAAATCAATAAAATATATTTTTAAAAATAAAATAAATAAATAAAAATAATAATAAAGATCTTTGGAATCAAGGGACTGGAGTATGACTCCTAACTCTGTCACTTAATAACTGTCTGACCTTGGGTCAGTTAATTCAGTCTTCACTGGCCAGTATTTACTTCAAAATAAAAAAAAAATTAAGTCTTCAATAATTTCCCAATGCTTACCATGCAGGCCCCTTGTGACTAGTAAATGAGCTCAGTTACATGCCTGTACGACTGTTCCCTTCAGTAAAAGAAATGCTCAGCACACGCTGGTTTATGATTTCCTACCCCATCGCTTGGACACTCAGTTTTCTACTACAGCACGGCCACGCCTGGTGTGCAACAAGGTGACAACAGGTTTTGCAGGCGTGGGCTGGCAGTGACCTTCCCACTTCCCATCCTCGAGGGCCTCATTGGAAACAGACCTCTGGAACAGGACTCACTCTGAGTATGTTTGTGTTCTTTCCACACTTGGCTCCCAGTACATTAGCATCTAGAATCTTACCTTCATGGCAAGACACAGGAAAACCATTCTCTAGGTATCTGAAAAGTAAATGCCTATATTTGGCGTTCTTCCAACAAACAGCTGATCCTGGTTTCCCTACGTTGAATCTAATCTCAGTGTTGTCAGGCTCCACTCCGAGCATTCAATTAGTTGTTTTTTTAAACCTTCCCATGTATTAAACCTGCTCATGTATTATGAGCATACAGCCAAGTTTTACAGCAGAGCTCCCAATTAGTTTTGCTTTTTTTTAACCTTCTCATGCATTATGAGCATACAGCCAAGTTTTACATCTAAGGCAAGGCTGTATTATGGGAGACATAGATCAAAAACAAGAACAAAGTATTTTGGAGGAAACAAAAACTGCAGGAAAAAAAATTCCCAAATAAATTTTATGACTAATATATTTTGAAAAATAAAAGAACTTCCCTGAAACAAGAATGCTCTCTCTCTCTCTCTCTCTCTCTCTCTCTCTCTCTCTCAATGTGTATACACACACACACACATATATATATATATTCATTCCAATGGACATTAACAAACTCTTGGAAATGAGAAACCTGGTAGAATAAATGAAAAACTCTAACTGGGTAGGAAAATAATATTGAGGACCTGGAATTAGAATGGCTTTATTTTTTTTTTAAAGAAAGGACAATGCTTTTTAATTTTTATTTTAAAAAAATGTTTTCATTGATTTTAGAGAGAAAGGAAGAGTGCAGAGATAGAAACTTTGGTGAAAGAGAAACATCAATATCAATCAGCTGCCTCCTGCATACTCCATACTGAGGATGGAGCCCAAAACTTGAGCATGTGCCCCACCGGGAATCAAACTGGTGACCTCCTGGTACTTGGGCAATGCACAGTAATCGAGCAACACCACCAGCCAGACCAGAATGGCTTTAGATTTCTCAACAGTAATATGTGAAATAAGAAGACAATGGAGAAATGCCCTCAAAATACTGGTGAAAAAAATTTAACTTCTACCTGGAATTCTATATCCAGCTCAACTATAAAAGCAAGTACTATAAATCAAGTCCTATAGAATAAAAACATTAAAAAAATAAGTGCTATAAATCAAGTACTATAGAATAAAAACATTTATAGATCTGTACAGTCTTAACAAATTTCTCTTCCCATGCACCCTTCCTCAGGGAATTACTGGAGTATATGCTTTATAAAACAGAGAGAGAGAGAGAGAGAGAGAGAGAGAGAGAGATAGAGGAAATAGAGAAAGACATTGAATACCGAACACTGGAGAGGGATGAAAGAAATACCCAAGAGGGTGGTAAATGGTGTCTCAGATGGACAGCTGTGTACGTGACAGAGAGGACAACCAGCCCAGATGAGAGCAGAGTGCCTCAAAAGGTAGATATGTTAAGAGTTGTCATCACCAAGATCCCCACTGCTATTGATCCTTTTGGGGAGCGGTGCCTGAAGACAGAATTCCTGGGCAAGGCTGGCTGATATGATCTATTCTTGACTTGCCTTAATCGTTTCTGCCAAGGTCGCTGCTTTTCCTGCTATGGCCTATTTAATGGCCTATTTAGTTGCTCGTTTCACCCCACAGAAGTGCTCTGCTGTGATCTGCTTCAGAAGCTGAAGGTGGGCCATGAGGAGGCAGCAAATCCAGAGCAGTCCACACTCCGAACCATATTTCTTCCGGATACTGAGTACCTGGCCCCCACTAGAGCCCTACCAGATGCCCAACTCTGATGAGCCCTGTGTCTCCCAACTCATGGCCTTGTTTGTCTACTGCCCTAGAAGGGACTCTTGTAAGCTCTCGGGGAAACTAAAACCAGACTGACCCAGAGACGCCGTCTACCTTCTCTCTCTCCTGGACACTTTCATCAAACAGGAGAAGGTCGCCCTTTCATTCTCAGCTGGATTTGTGCTCCTGCCCCATACACATGGTTTAGTAATAATACACACCTAAGTGGTAAAACTGTGAAGAAAACCAAAAGCGATGAGCACAAACGTTAAGACAAGGCCACCTCTAGGGAGGAGGCTGGAGGTTTTATTTACAGAGGAGCCCTTGGAGGGTATCTAAGGTCCTGGTGAGTGTTCTACTCTTTAATTTTTATGATAGGTACATAGGTGCTAACTGTACTGTATTTTCAACTCTATGTATATTTAAAATACTCTTCTAGTCCTGACTGGTTTGGCTTAGTGGATAGAGCGTCAACCTGAGGAAGAGAGAGAGATAGAGCGATTCCAGTTAAGGGCTTGTACCTTGGTTGCGGACACATCCCCAGTGGGGGGTGTGCAGGAGGCAGCCTATCGATGTTTCTCTCTCATCGATGTTTCTAACTCTCTATCCCTCTCCCTTCCTCTCTGTACAAAATCAATAAAATATATATTTAAAACATAAAAATAAAATACTCTTCAATACACATGATACTCTTCCCAGCAAAACTCACATACCGAGCAAAGCCACCCCGTGAAGTAATGAAATCTGGGTTCTCCGGGCCTTAAACAGAGGGAAACATGAAAAGGCCACGGGCTTCTCCCTCTCTGAGCCCTCGTCCAAAGGGAGCATCGACAGCAGTAACATGGCCATCCGGCCAGTCTCATAAACTGGTCTCATACACTTAGAACCCTGCTGTCGTGACCTGGATGCCACACTCTGCGCGAAGAAACAATTCAGAGCCACTCCCTGGGCTCTCGGTGCGAGGACAGGCTGTGACTCTCCCCTGCCCTCCTGCTCCGTCTCTGCCCTGTCCACCCAGTGCTGCCCTCTGTGGTCTAGGTCACCCAGGCTTCTTTCTTCTTTGGCTGTTAGCCGGGTTTTGTCAATAGGAGGCACTGTTGGGAGAGGAAAGGGCATGGAGAGAAAGGTCAAGGATATTTCTTCCCCTCTCCCTCCCTGCCTCCCTGTACCTGACTGTCCCCATAATCCCCCACACACCCCTGCAAATAGTCCATATTAAATTTTCTTCAGTTAAGCCCTTTTGTGTGTCTGTCATTTCCTGCTGGGCTCTGACTGACATTTTGTTTTAATATTTAAGTGTCCCTGCTCAGGGTTCATTTTCATGCCAAAATGGATTTGGAGGACCCAAAAGCCCGCAGCCCCCAAATAAGCAGCTCTCTAATGGGGTGGCATTCCGGGCAGTATTCCAGAGACGTTCTCACGGCAGCTCTCAAATTAGACCTTTGCAGGCAGTGGGGTGTTTTTACAAGCAGCCTCGTCCCAGGGAAGCCGCACATCTAAAAACCTCTCCCTCCAGCGGGCATCTGCAGCGTGGCGTTTTGTAAAAAGTTTGCATTCAGTATTCACTGCGTTATGCTGCTGGCCGGGCATAGGAAGGCCTGGGTGCATTTGCTCCCGGCCTGTGGAATTTTTACTCCTTTCCGCTTCTATCCTCCTGGCCTGTGGAATCTTTACTCTTTTCCGCTTCTATCCCAGAGGAAAGGCAGGCCTCCCCCCAGGCAGGATGCTCAGACCTCAGCAGCATCCTCCGTTGCTCTCCGAGGTCTCTTCTCCTTCACAGAGCGAGTCAGGTGCTACACACAGGCTTCTAGCATCTCTCATCATCTTCCTGTCGCCCCTTCCTCTAGGGAGATCAAAGCTCACCACCGAGGAACTCCCAAAGAGAAGAAATAGCCAGCGGAACCCCCGGGGCCAGGCAGGAAAAGCAAGTAAACAAGTGATTGACGCACTTTGTAGACAAGCTGGAGGGGCCTGGCCCGTCTGAGCTGCAGGCCGGTGTGGGCAGGGGAAGTGGAGGAAGCGGTCCCGGATGGACAACATCTCATTGTTCCTCTGGGTTCCCAGGGACTGAGACAGGCCTCCAACCAAACAAACGTGCGAGGAGGTCAGGCTATTTGTGTTGATAAACACGGAAAGCAGGGAAGTGGCCAGCTGGGGGAGGTGGATTTACGTCGAATGTGCTGTGCCTTCTCCGGGGCCCCTGAGGGACACAAGAGAAGAAGGAGACACTCAGGCAAAAAGGATGGGTGTTGACTGTTGTTAAACATGAGGGGCCTGGAGGTCAGCAGGCCTGGGTTCAAATCCCGGGGCCTCTATTTCCTAGCTCTGTAACTTGGCCCCATCCTTTCATTTCTCCGTGCCTCGGTTTTACTATCTGTGAAATGGGAATGGTGAGGCTTCCTTGAAGGCTTAATAAAGATAATGCACTTCCAAGTGTCTGACATAGGAAGGTTTCTTTAAAAACGTCTACTGTTGTTTTAGGAAGATGTATCCGCAGGGCCGGGATTAGCTCAGGGAAACAGCACTGCTTCGTCAGACACCTGGGTTTTTGTGAAGGTTCCAGCGCAAATTCACTGTGTGAACTTGAGCAGGTTACTACTCCCCGGCCCTGGTGCCGAGCTCCGCCTCCCTGGGATGAGGGTGCTGAACAAGGTCTCCGGGGTTTGCTCGGTGCCAGGAGGCTGGGTTCTAGAGAACTGTAGCTAAGGGGACCGGGAAAGTCTCTGACTCAGAACAAAAATAACGCACAGACGGCCAAAACGGGTGTTTGTTTTTATCATACTTTTCTTCTCGGGAACTTGACTCTTAGGATAATGGTGCTGCCATTTCTCACAACACTTTCAGATTCATTGGTTTAAAATTATCTGCAGAGCCAGTTCTTGGAACCAAAGTAGAAAAGCATCTCATTGCTTTATAGCCATGCATTCATTTCTTCTTTTTGTTTATGTTCTGAGCAAAACAAAAAAAGCTCTCATTCCCTTAAGGCAAACTAGATTCCAGTTCCAGTTCTGCCACTAATTAGAGGATTGTAATTTTCTCTCTTCGGCCTTGGTGTCTGCCCCGGCAAAACTGGATAATAAAATCCACCTTGCCGTATGGCCATTGACGAGCTGAAGACTAGGACAGCAGCAGTAGGCAGGATGCTTGGCTCAGGATAGGCGGTAAAATACATTAATACATCCACCTATGCATACCTTCCCCTTCCTGATTACCTGCTTCACCTCTTTATCCATTGAGTAAATTCATCGTCCACAGAACTTCAGGCTCCATATTGGAAAAACCAAGGCCTTTCTCCTCTTGTGTCTTTCCTCTCTACTTGCACACAGAACAAGTCACTTACGGCAGGTCTGCCCGCCTCCAGGTCTGCCCACCACTTCCGCTCACCAAATATGTGGGTTCCCCCCACCAAGCAATTATTGTGACACCAGCTGAGTGCCCTATGATTTAACTCAATTCTGACACTATCTACCTGGACATGGTGTCATATCCCCTGGACAGTCCCACAAGACTGTCCCCCTCTTCAGATGCCAACCCATTACCCACAATTCCTGTCCAACTGCTACAAATCTGAGGTAACCTTGACCCTCTCCTTAGGTTCGATTAACTTGATAGAACAGCTCACAGAACTCAGGGAAATGTTTACTGTAATGAACACGGTTCACAACTAAAGGATATGATAAAGAATGCAGATGAGTAGCTAGATGAAGACATGGGGGAGGTCTGGGAGGGTCCTAACATGGAGCTTCTGTCTTGGGGCACCTGTGTTCATCTACTTGGAAGCTCTCCAGACCCCATGCTATTGGAATTTACAGAGGCTTCCTCCTGTAGGCATGGCCAGTCCCCAGATCCCATGCTATTAGGCTTTACAGAGGCTTCCTCACATAGCCATCCAGGAGCCCACCCGGAGTCACCTCATTAGAACAGAAGATGCTCCCAGCGCTCTCATCACTTAGGACTTTCCAAAGGTTTTAGGGACCCCGTGTCAGGGACTGGGGACAAGGACCAAACATAACATTTTATTATAAATCACAATATCACAAGCTCCAAATGATTTTCTTCCATTTCCAAAAATCAAATACACTTTCAGAGGTAAAGATTTGTAAAGGATATTCAAAAGGCTGTGCTCAGATTCCAAAGCTTTCTCTTTAAACTACACACTACATTTACTCATGTGTGCATGTATGTATGTGTGTACATTTGGCATTTAGTAAAATCCTCAACTGTGGCCCTAACCCATTTGGCTCAGTGGATAGAGTGTCAGCCTGCCGACTCAAGGGTCCCGGGTTCGATTCCGGTCAAGAGCATGTACCTTGGTTGCAGGCACATCCCCAGTAGGGAGTGTGCAGGAGGCAGCTGACCGACATTTCTCTCTCATCGATGTTTCTAACTCTCTATCCCTCTCCCTTCCTCTCAGTAAAAATTAATAGAAAATATATTTTTTAAAAATCCTCAACCATGTGAGACCGGCAGACAGACCTGGACACCAATGCCGTGACGTTGAACCTGTCCCTGACGTCAGGCAGCGGGACTTAGGATGGTACCCCGAGGCCAGGAATACTGAGGGCAAGGATGCACTGTGGAGCCAGCCTCCAGGCCCAGGGAGGTCCACTCTGGCTGGGTGACCTCTGTCAATCACATTATTCTTTGAAGTCTCAGTTTATTCACCAGGGAAATGGGAAAGATAGTCTTATAAATTTGTTATGAGGATCGTAAGTGGCTAGTTTTATGAACAAGCAAGAAGAGGCAAAGGTGGGAGCGTTAGTTATATGTAAGGCGTGAGGCATAACATGCTTGCACCAGGTCCCATGAAGCAGGGAACGATGGGGAGGAAAAGGCAGACCAGCAGTCTAACTCTGTCCCAGCCTCTAGTAGGGGAAAGGCCCCCCCCCCCCGCCCCTGCTGTGCAGGCCCCTGCCCTTCCTGTTTGGGAGTGTGCTATCTTTTCTGGCTCCCTCTCTCCCTCTTCTTCAGCTGCTGGCCTCTGCAGTCCATTCAGCCCTGAAGCTGCCAGGCAGGTTTCAAACATGTTTATGAAATGTCTTCACCTGAGGCTGCCTGATTGGTTTATCGGGCCGGCCCTGGAGCACTCCCTCACAATGAGCAGTGACATTCACAGCTTCCAGAGGTGCAAGGGAAACATTTTTCTTGCTGCCTCCTCTCTGTCTCTCTCAAATGGGGCAGTCATTACAGTCTTTCAAAGGTGGACTCTGTTGGCGGACAATGTGCCGAACTTGCCCCGGGAAGACCCTGGAAATGTCAGGAACCGGATAGCGCTGCGCAACGTGCACAGAATCAGCTGCTTGGAGATTGGAAAACAAAAGGTGGGTTTCTCCCTGTTCTGTAGCCGGGCTGGCTTCCCGGGCATGCGACCTGCTCAGTCACAGAGTCCTGCACCCAGAAGCGCCCTGCACTTGGCTTTATTAGTCTGCATTTAAAACTGGCATT